CACCAGTGGCCTCATGTTTTACACCAGTGGCCTCAGCTCTTGCTTCAGCTAACATTTGGCTGCTACTGGCATTCTCCTTCTCAGTTTTTGCCCGCCAGTCATCCCAGTACTTGGTGCACTCCTTTGCATTGTCCAGCATCTTGGGCTTGGTGTTGCTGCCTGCAGGGGCAGCTGTGTCCAAATCCCCCTCCTCTATCTTGAAGTTGACTTCTTCAATGTCTGCCCATGCTGGCTTGGGCCCTTTGTCAAGACCCTTCTCATCATTGAGCTTGGGCTGGTCATCAGCGCCCCAATCTGGCTCATCCATTTGGGCCCTTTGGCAAGACCTTTGTGGAGCCCTTTTCCAAGGCCCAGGGGCAGCAAACCAGAACTGTGCTTGCCCCAAGTGATTTCAAAGCCCCTGAGGGCCTATGCTTGAAACAAGTTGAGCAAAATGGCTGCAGACATAGTGGCATACAGTGCACATTCACTGAAGTGTATTGTGCCTTTGCTGTGCAGTAGTTTCCAGACAAAAAGTGGTTGGCACAGTGCACAGCCTTTTTTTCTCATTCTTGTATCATCCAGAAGCCCTGTTGCAAGGCCTTTTTCTCTGCCCTAATACCAAGGCTACATTCCTAAACCACCTACTTTGCATGCCTTGTAAACAGCTTTTCCCTGGCTTGCAGGACCATGGCCTTGCACGCACCTAACTTTTTGCAGTGTGGCAGGAGAAGCTCAACAAGCTCTCTATGTGTCTTTGTTGTATGGCTGGCTTGGCTCTGTGTCACTGCCACCACCAGCCTCTTGTTTTTGCCTGGGCCAGGCTGGTGCTGTATGTAGGATTGCACCTTGCCCCCACCAATTGACAAAGAGTCTTGGTGGATCAGATCTTTCTCAGGGCATGCACCCTTTGGCTCCAGCTTTGCAGATGGCTTCTTCTTAGGCAAGCAAGCAGACTCCTTTGGCTCCAGGTCTGCAGATGGTCTTTTCATTGCACCAGCCCTCCAAGTTTTCTTCAGCACAGGTGGTGGGCTCCCTTCCAATGCAGCCTTTGCAAGGCTTGTGCATTCCTCTTCTTCATCTTCTCCACCATCCACCAATTCTTCATAACCACTTTCATCTCCATCATGGCATTTTGGACTTGTGGCCACCATCATAGGGAACCGCAGAGAATCCACAGTCACATCTGACTTGTGAACCTTCAGGGTCTTTCCTGGGCTTGTCGCCTTTTTCCTCAGCACCTCCATCACTTTGGCTTGGCTGTCATCCAGCCTTGACGTGAACTTCTCCCAAGCTTTGTCACTGGCAGTGACTCTTCTCCAATGGCTGAGAATCACTCCAACACAATCTGCTGCCCTTCCAGCCAGCAAGCCCTTTTCTCCCTTCAGGTGGTTTGAAAAGAGCTCTGCCCCCCAGGTCTGCATCAACACTATGAAGGACTGCTTGAGGTAGCTGTACTTCACCTTTGCACTTGGGGAGGCATCAAGGAGCACAGATATAAGCTGGTTCAGCTTGAACAATGACTTTGGACATTCTGCTTGTTGAGGCTCTAGGCGGAGGTAATCGAAGAAGTTCATGGCCTCACTGCAGCCAAGGGTTCTGGTGTAGCCTTGCAGCAGGTCATCTAACCTTTCTTGGCTCAGATCTGGAAAAGCTTCCCTCTTGGGTGGGCACTTGTTGCCACCACCTTTTCTCCTTTTCCTCTGATTCCTCTGGGGCTTCATCATTGGAAGAGCCCTTGTGCAAGACTCTGGTTTGAGAGAGCCCTTTGCAAGGCCCCTACTTTGACCAAATTTGTCACAGGCCCTTGGGCAAAGCTCAGCTGCATGCAAGGTAATTGTGCATGTTCCAATTGAAGGTCACACAGAAAGCTCTTATAACTCAAATGAATCTTAGTGGCTTGTGTTTCAGTGCATATTTTGACATGGATGGTGGCAAAGATGGTGTGCTGGCCTGGCAAATTGCCCAGGGCACCTGGAGACCTGCTGTGGGCATGAAAGGCAAGGTTTAACATTTTACCAGAGCCCTTTGGCAAGACCATCCCTATACTATAGAGCCCTTTGGCAAGGCCCACATCCCTTTAGAGCCCTTTGGCAAGGCCCAATGGCAAAGCCATCACCTCCACAGCCTGAAACCATTTTGCTGAAAGCCTGGGCGCCAACTCCTCCCACACCTGTAGCAGTTCACTTGCCACTGCCCCATGTTGTAGGTGCCAAGCCTTTTTGCCCACACCCACCCATCACAGTGTGGATCTGCACACACCACACAGTGCCAGAACAGTGGTGCAAAATCTGTGAGGTGGTCCAAGGGGTCCAGCTCCACCTCCATGGCCACAGACCAGCCCTTTGACAAGGCCAAACTCTGGCAAGAGTTGACAGCTGGAGCCAAAATTTGTTGCCATGCAAAGGCTGGGCTGAAGCACCAAACACTGCACACAGACAGCAGAGATGAAGCCACTGTTGTCTTTCATAACTTACTGCAACAACCAGCAGGGGTTATTGAAACAGCCTGTGCCAATATATATATATGTAAAAATAGCTAATTATGTTGTTGAACTGTTTATTGAAACAAACCAATAGGCTTATTGAAATAGATTGGAAAAGTTATTGAAACATACCAATAACTTTATTGAAACAAACCAATAACATTATTGAAACAGAAACCAATAAGGTTATTGGTTTGTTTCAATAAAAACAAGGTTTCAATAATGGCATTGAAAATCAATAACTTTATTGAATCTTTTCAATAGGGCGTACTCTGATCACGAACCTTGTTGTGCAATTGATTGGGAAAGCACGGATAGCCACTCCGTGGGGCGAACTGTTTCAGCCTCACAGGCATCTAGTGCAGTCAGGCGCATTCGGAGTTCAATTTATACAGAGTATGCGCACGGCCAAGATCGGCGTGTGCGCCGACCTGACTTTGAGACTGTATTCCGAGAGAGCTCGCTTTTCTATCGAACAGATTGGAGCACTTGGAGATGATTTTATCGCCTGCGGTGACTTTAACAACTACAGATTGTACAAAGAAGGATACAAATATTCTTGCTCAATTAATCATTTTGAGCTCAAAGATGGGCTTCGACACGCCATGCCAGACGATTCACGTTCCAGCCCTAGACAAACAAGGGGCACAAGTGATCATTAAAGCATGCTTGCACCAGTTTGGCACAGATGACATAAAGCTACGTACCACCTCCGGAGACAACGTTGCCGTTCAGCCATCCTGCCTTTCAGCGATCACGGCTTGGAAGACCGAAATGAAGGAGGACATGTGGACATCACTTCTCGGAGCTCCTGCAAAGACATGTGCGCAAGCATTAAGCATCACACCTGCTGAGCACTATAGCACGGGCCCTTGGGGCCGCAATTTTCGCACAGGTGACCAGACATGCGAACCAGAGGAAGCTCAGTCATTTCAGTTCCATTGTCGCATCAAATCTGCTGCGTTGGAGTTGTTGATGAAAAACAGTGGACAGGAAGGCGTTTACTTAACGCCGAAATCCGAAACATTAAACAGGGCCGATGAGAAATATTCTGTGATCTGGCAACCAGAATCCACTTACGAGCAGGTTGGGGATTTCGCTGCAAGCCTTGATATCCAACTTGGTATTGCCCGCTCGACAACCGGGACTCTGCATTACGGAGTTCGTGTGCACACCGACCATTTTGCACAGGTTTTTTCTAAGGCTTTTCCACACAAGGCCGTTCCGCCTGTGCTTGTGACGCATTTCCTGGCCAAGATTGCTCCTACTCCCACAGGAGCGTCGAGCGAGAACATTCGCGAATGGTTGGCAGTGCATAGCATTAAAGGCAAGCCTATTCGAGCATTGAATACAAACACATGGCTGATTTCCATCGTTGACAAGCCCGTTCGAGCATTCCATACGTGGGGGCCTAATTCCGTCCTTTTGTCACCTATTACACCCAAGAATGACAGGGCACGGCCTACAGTGATTGCAGGTCAACAAAGACAGGATCCTC